CTGTGTGTGTGTCAGTCAGTGTGTGTGTCTGTGTGTGTGTCAGTCAGTGTGTGTGTCTGTGTGTGTGTGGGTCTGTGTGTGTGTCTGTGTGTGTGTGTGTCAGTGAGTGTGTGTGTGTCAGTCAGTGTGTGTGTCTATGTGTGTGTGTCAGTCAGTGTGTGTGTCTGTGTGTGTGTCAGTCAGTGTGTGTGTCTGTGTGTGTGTGTGTCAGTCAGTGTCTATGTGTGTGTGTGTGTGTGTGTGTGTGTGTGTGTGTGTCTGTGTGTGTGTGTCAGTCAGTGTGTGTGTGTGTGTGTGTGTGTGTGTGTGTCTCCATTGTTCCTGATAAACCATCTCAGCCTCTGATTGGCTCCCAGCAGCGTGCGGCCGTCTGCGTGCTGATTGGCTGCTCTGACCTTTCCGTTGCCGCGGCGATGCCTGACCGATAAGAGCTGAGCGCGTGGCGCTTTGTGTTTGTGTGGACCTGGTTCTGGTTCTGATGCCGGATCGGTCCGGTTAGTGAGTGTGTGACCTCTGACCTCTCAGACTGCAGTGTTGACGTGAGCCGGATCAGAACCAGAACCCGTCTGTTATCTGGAGCAGGCGAGCCGGGCCGATCAGCTGCTGCCTCTGAGGCATTTTAATGAGCCCTGCAGTGGTTCTGACCGGGTCCAAACAGAACCAGCTGGGACCGGACTGGTTCTGATCACTGACCTGAGCCTTCTCCTTCAGGTCCATGAAGTTCTGTTGAAGTTCTGGACCAGAATTCACCCTTGGTTCTGGTCCAAAAGTTTTAGTCAAGAATATTCTGGTTCTGATCCGACTGGTCTGGTTCAGGTGTCTGTAGAACCTGGAATGGGTTCTACAGACCTCTGAAGTCAGTCCGGTTCCTGACCCGCTGTCCGTCCCCAGGAAGCTGCTACCCGTGTCCAGAGACGGTTCCGGTCCGCTGCAGCTGCGGCTCGTCGGTTCTGGTGGTTCCGTGCGGCCGAGAGCGCAGCACCAAGCCGCCCCGCTGCAGGGAGCCCTGCAGGTAGGTGTGGTACCCGGCCGGCCGGCCGGCCGGCCGGCGGTTCCGGAGGTCCGGCGGGTCGTCAGCGCTGTCTCTGCCCGCAGGCTGCCCCCCAGCTGCCACCACCGGGACGGGGAGCCCCACCGCTGCCACCCGGGGCCCTGCCCGCCCTGCGCGCGCCCCTGCCTGCTGCCGCTGCCCGGCTGCCGCCACGCCTGCCCCCAGCCCTGCCACGACCTGGTTCTGGTCCGGTCCCAGCAGGTAGGCCGTGGAAACCCCTCTGACCGGGTCTGAACCGGGTCCGATCGGAACCGACCGCTCTGCCTCTGTGTGTTCAGGTCCAGTTGGCCGGGCCGTGGGAGCAGCCGGCGGAACCGACCTTCATGAAGAAAGCGCTGCCCTGCCCGCCCTGCCAGGTCCCCATCCCCACGTAGGTACCGACCCGGTTCTGGTTCTGGTTCTGGTCAGACTGAAACGGCACAGATATAAACTGAACTCACAGGAAGTGACCCGACTCTGAGCTCTGTGGTTCTGTGGTTCTGTTCACATGTCGATTATCTAGGTTACATTAACCTGGTGTGTTTACGTCCATGAGGCGGATCTGGTCTCTCTAGCTCTATGCTCTCAGTGTTTATGCTTGTTTTAACCAGAACCATCTGGTTCTGACTCAACCCGACCCAAAGCTGGAAGCTTCTGTTAGAATCAAACTGGGCCAGAAGCCAGATGAACAGCAGTCAGGTTCTGCTGGGCCCGGTTCTGTCATGACCCATTAGCGCTAGCGGCGCTGAGCCCGCCTGCCGGTCCTGATAGCAGTCATTAGTTCACCTCCGCAGCAGCTCGCTCCCATCCTGGTTCTGGTCCAAACACCCAGCTCTGCGACAGCCTGGTTCTGGTTCTGGTTCTGATCTGGAGCTGTGCTCAGTCGGACCCTGGGGGTTGTTTGTCCTGTGAGAACAAAGTTCTGACTCCCTGCCAGGCCCGGATCTGGACCCGGTTCTGTTTGACCTCCCAGCCGGATCAGAGGGACGGTGGCGTCAGCAGCTGGAGGCGGGCCTTCAGAACCGCTGTGATCCGGTTCCAGGACAGAGCTCAAGCTGGGTTAGGTTCTGGCCCGGTTCCTGGGTTCTGCTCAGACTGCAGAGCGGTAACCGGGTCAGAGGTTGTGGTCAAACAGAACCAGAACAGTTCTGACGTTGAAACGGACCGGACCAATGTCCAGAACCATGTTCCTGCCAGCTGGACCGAGACCGGACCGTTCTCTGTCTCCTCCCCTCTGATGGTTTCTCTGTTTGTGTTTCAGGTCCTGCTTCGGGGAGCACGAGGTAAGAACCAGAACCAGAACCCGTTTCCTCCTGCTGTCTGTTCACTCTGCAGCAGAGTTCTGCTGAGTCCCACTTGTCGTCTCGGTTCCGGTCCGTATCTTCCTCCTCCTCCTCCTCCTATCTCTCCATCTCTGCTGTCGGCTCTTTGTTTTCTGTAAATGTCAGCCGCTGTCCTCCCAGCTCCTCTATCTGCTGCGACCTTCTCTGACCTTCTCTGACCTTCCTTGACCTTCTGTGACCTTTGCGTCCCGGCCCGTCTGCTGCTCCAGCTGCTGGTTCTGTGTGTGTGCAGGTGAGCCCGGTCCCGTGTCACCGTCAGGGCCGTTTCTCCTGCGGTCGGGCCTGCGGGCGCCCGCTGGCCTGCGGGAACCACAGCTGCAGCCGGGAGTGCCACCTGGTTACCGACGGCAACCAGGTGAGACCGCCTCTCCTTGGTCAGAATGCAGCAGGAAGGGCGCCCCGTTAACCAATCGGATGTCCCCGCAGTGCGAGGCGTGTGAGGAAGGCTGTGGTAAGCCCCGCCCCCCCGGCTGCCCCCACCCCTGCCCCCGCCCCTGTCACCCTGGCGACTGCCCCCCCTGCAGCCAGATGCTCCGCCAGCGCTGCCACTGCCGGATCAGCACGCTCTACCTTGAGTGCAGGTGAGTGGGGTTTCCATGGCAACGCCTTCCATCAGGGCCGTGCTGGGTCTGAACCAATCAGCTGTCTGCAGGAAGCTGACGGTCGCCGACGAGCCAACCAGGATCCAGCTGGGCTCCTGCAGCAACCAGTGTCCTAAAGAGGTACACACACACAGGGGGGGCTTCTGATTGGCTCATTATGGAGCCACTTCCTGCTCTGAAGGAAGTGGCTCATGCATGTGGAGCATGTGGTCTTAAAGGGCCAGTGACACGTAAAACCAACTCATGTTTTAATGTTTTTCCTCATCAAAAACAAACCTCCAGTGCTGCTTTGATTCTTTTGTGCTTGATAAATCCTGTAATCTCCATGACAACCACTTAGTGTTTATAAACGCCTGATTGGACCGATCCCCGCCTTCGAGATGCAGCTCCTCCCCCCCCAGCTAACAAACAGCTGGTGGATCTGCTGAGCTCTGGTGGAAACGCTGTTAAAGGGTTAATACAGGAGCCATGACTTCCTGGAGGCGGAGCTTCAGAAACGGAGCTTTTAAATGTACTGATATAGCTGTTAGCATTTTCCTAACAGCTGAAGGTAACAGTTACTGGATGAGGCCATAAAATGGGTGTAAAACATGAGACCGGCCCTTTAAAGGTTTCTGCCTGCTGGAGCGAGGCCAGAGCTGCAGCCAATCAGAGGGCAGGATGTTTGGAGGTGGTCAGACGGGGTCTGCTCTCAGACTCTCTGATCTAACAGCCGTGTTTAGAGACACATGGTTTGTTTTCTCTGCCTTCACTGGACCAGAACCCTCAGGCTGGACCCGGTTCTGTTGCTCTGCTCTGTCAGGAGCGCTGACTCTCTCTCTCTGTGTGTAGCTGAGCTGCGGCCATCGCTGCAAACAGGTGTGCCATCCAGGTGTGTGTGAGGAGACGTGTCAGCAGAAGGTGAAGCTCAGGTGTCCATGCAAGAGGATCAAGAAGGTAAACAGTCACCAACAACTTCCTGGTTCTGGTTCCTGTCTGATGGGTGGAGACGCTGCTGGAGGCCAGCAGGTCAAAGGTCAACACAAGAAGCATCAGTTTAACCCTCTGGGCTGGTTTCTCAGTCCCTGTTGGTCACAGCGATCAGCTGATCAGCTTGTAGCTGAGCTAATGTTTCATTTAGTGCCTTAGCATTTTTGAGGAGCTTTAAATAAATCATTTTTTCCAGATAAATTCTAAAGCTCTAATTTGCTGCTTTGTAAACATCTGTGTTGAAGTTTTGGTTTGTTGACTGTAGGATTCCTGAAGTAGTTCAACGTTTTATTCATGCTCTTATAGCGTTTAGCTTCAGCTAACTCTAAATACCACATCGGTGTCGTGCTTTAGCATGAGCTAATGCTAGATACCGTGTTGGTTTAGCACTTTAGCATTAGCTTCCATTAAATACCATGTTGGTCTTGCGGTTTAGCATAACTGTTTACTGTTAGTTAGCAGTGTTAACCTTAAGGTTGTTAGATAGATGTGAAAATATCCAAATTATGTGAAATTAAAAAGGCGGTAAATAAAAAACCCTTG